AAATCCCGCCTGCCACTCCAAAGCTCCCACTACTTCCTCACCTGAGGGCTACCAATTTCGCCTCAGTTTTCAATCAGCTGGACCAAACTGGAGATTTTAATCTGTCACCTTAAAATCTCCAATTTTGCATCCAACAAAGTATATTTCTCTATTTATTTGCACTCAATTCCATGGATGAAAAGCTCTCCCATGAAATCAAATGTGATTCTCCACCTGCTGTAGAAATCATAGCCCTTTTCAGAACATATGTTTCTCAACTTGTATATGTTTCTCAACTTATGTTTCTCAACTTGTTTTAACATTTCAATTGGTCAGATCAAAAAGTAAATGAAGATCGAAGTTCAAGAAAAAATCATCACAATTTATTTTCATATTTTAAAATTGTACATCCAAATTAATTATTCACAAAATCATATCTCAAAGTAGAGAGAAAGAAAAAGAAGACTACTCAGAATTCATGAGAATGATACGACAAAATACTGATTTCATATCTAAAAACAAGTTTACAAGATAAAAGAAATAAAAGACACAACTTATCTCACAATCCTTCCCAAGCAAATCCCTAAAAGTTATCTCCAAACATTTCTCTCATTACAAGCACACTCAATTCTCTCTTAGTGTGATGAAGAAGAAATCTCTCACCTTCTCTCTCCTCTTACAATTCTAAAAGAAAATCTCCTCTTCTTCTCTCCTTGACTTTCACGCTACCCCCACTTTGTTGTCCTATTTGTCCCACCTTTAACTCCTTGAAATCTCTCTCTTTTATTTTGGGTTGCCTCTTTCAAAAGGAACTCAAAATTCTCTCCAAAATTCGCTCCAAAAGTCAACTCTTTTGAATTAAAAGTCAACTCCTAAAAGTCAACTCTTTTGAATTCAAAGGATGTGTCATTTGATCCAAGAGACATATCCCTTCATAAAAGAACCTTCCAAAGTGCCTAGATGCATTGAATTACTCCAATAGGTGTGTAGAACAAGTCTCCCTTTGAAAATTCACGCAAAATTTATCTCAAATCACCTTAAGCCGCAAAAAGTAGTCTCTGGC